ATGGCAAGTACTAGGGGCATCTGTAGCGTAGTTGGTTGAGGCACTATGCCACAAGCCGGAAGGGTTGTGGGTTCTGGTGAGGTCATTGGTCTTTTCAATTGACCTAATCCTTCCAGCTGTTTTCTGGCCCTGGGATTGACTCCGCCTCTAATAGAAATAAGTACCAGGAATCTTCCTGGGGGTAAAGGGCAGCCAGCGTGTAAGGCTGACATCCTCACTGCCATCTGTGAGCCAACTGTCTGAAAAAAGTGGGAGCCTCGACGTCTCACAACCCTACGAACCTCCACGGCCAGTTACAGGGATAGCGTTACCTTCTTTTGATAATGGCATCTGATACAGTGCAGGGAAACAAACCATCCTGCTTTGAGGACTGTGGATAAAGAAGAATTCTTGACAATTTAGCTGCTGGCACCTAAATCACAAAAATCATGGCTGCTGAAGCTGGCGTTTCACATGTACCATGCAGATCACCTACCACACATTCTGGCTCTGACATTGACTTTGGAAGTACAGTTACCAGCACAAATCTGAAGGCCTAACCATCAGCCCATTCAGGTATCAGCTGGGACTATCTTGTCCACACTCTTAACACACACAAGACTGCTGACTGGTTTGTTTTCATGCCAGGGCCCCAAAAGTTTTTGGAAAGAGTAATAGAATCCAACTTTCTCACCTACTGACCTTTGGCCAACTGTTCAAAGATAAGCTTTCAGATTCAATACTCACTGTACAAGTTTTAGAAGCACGTCAGATGTAAGCAGATTGCTTTCTGTACTATGCTCAGGGATCATGCAACGTTGACTTAAATAGAAGGTAAGTATTGACATTTCATTAACACATGATCATTAGCATTCCTTAACTGTCCAAATTTTTCCCTAATCCAGGCCACAGCTCTCTCCTACAGTCCACATTAGTACTGCTGTATGGTATTCCTCATTTTAAGTTAAAATATTTCCATAGTACATGTTAGGGATTAAAACATGTTATTGTATAATTATGTTGGTCATAGATGTTGCTTTAAAAATACAACTCATCTCTTCTTCCAACATCATACAAATAATTAAATTCAAATTAAGCAAGACTTCTACCTACGTACCCTACCTACCCACCCACCCACCTACCTATGGTTCTACAGTCCTGTTGGACCTTGGCCACTTTTTCAGTTCCTTAATCCCATACACAGTCAGTAGGACAGGGATCAGTCCATCTCAAGGCCTCTTACCTACACACAGAATAAACGTACACAGACATCCATGCCTTGAGTGGGATTCGATCCCACAATCCCAGCATTTGAGCAAGCGAAGACAGTTCATACCTTAGACTGAGCATCTACTGTGATTGTGTGATTGGCTTAAATAAGTCTTAAGCTTCCAAACTACAGCTAAATTAATTAATTGGGGGGGGGGCAATAAAGTTGAAATAGGCTCTAGTTTTTTAAAGCAGCATAGAAGTGACTTTAGCTTTATCACCAAGGCAAGCTGAGGCTGAGTCATCTCTGATATAACAGCCACCTGATGATAAGCACATGTATAAATTATATAATCATATTCTTGATAACATTCTGAGATATGATATTGATAACTAGGATTTTGAGTTTTGATGTTCTCACAGCAGTGACTTCAAGATCTGGAGCCTTCTGTTTTGTGACATCACCTACTCTTGTAGACAGATACTTACAATTCAGAGTAACATGCTACAATCAGGAAGATTCCATTCAAGATGGAGACCTCATGTTGGTATCTTCCTACAAGACCACCTGGTGTCACAAGCCACAAGAGAACAATGTGAAGGAAATAGTCTGCCCCACACATCTGGACTGATTCTATGTTCATCCTTCTGGCCTCTGTCCATTCAGATAAGGGTGCAGAACTCATTTCTGAGGTGGGTGCATCCATAGGGTCAAGTCTTTTACCCCTAACCACCACAAGAATGAAGGCTGGTAGAAGAACCCACAGTGATCTCTCAAGTAAAACTCAGAAATGTTACTGATTCCGCCAACTCGTTCGGTACTTGTCTGACATTTAGAAATCACAGTTGCTCTTCACCAGACATATACACCCAAAATGCAACTTTTAATATTGTATTTAAGCATCATGCTGCACCAATATATCAATTACTTCATTATTTCATATATACCAGGTAAACAATGCAACTACTTGTACATAAGCTGGGTGATGGGTCTACAGCCAAAGGGACACATGTATGAGAAATCAACATTCACACCAACACCCATGAACTACATGAAATACGAACACACCCGTACCTCTGAAGATTGTGCTAATAGGTCCCAAAAGAAGACTGGAATTAACTGGTTTTATTAAAATTAACAAGGATGACCTATTTTAAAATTATTTTGCAATTTTTATTAAGGTGTACCAATAACTAGCCACATGCAATTGTGACATGCAGCACAGTAAGGCAGTTTAGCATAGAAGCAGACACCTGATGGTGACCACATATGTTTGAAACATGCAAACAAAGAATTCTGTTGCGTTACTGACAGAAATATATTTCACGAAATAATTGCAACATTTTAACCTATATGAAAATCCCTTTGGAATGTAGCTTCAAAAGTTCTGGAACACTCTGAATGAGATTTTTGATCCATGCTGTATATAACCCAATCACAGTTCTAATGGAGTCACTCGCTCAAAACACAGATGTACTTCAGTGGAATTCAGTTTGAATCCTACCCCTACCTCTGCCCACAACAGCAAGAAACATGCTTAGCAGTTGGCTTCCCAATATTAAATTGCTGCATCTGACTTTTTTGCCTTCTATGTTAACCTACATTGCACACAGATGGCAGAGTGTTGGGGCTCCTCAATGACCAGCCAACAGAATGCCAGAATTTCATCAACACCCTCATGTGACTAGTCTACAGTTATTCCAAGCAGGAAGCAATTTCTGTTGAAGGCTGATCAGAGCTTCTCAGCTTAGCTGGCACCCTGAACAAATATAACAGATTAGTTGGCTGGGTGTTAAAGAGTGCTTGCACCATGACTGACTACAGTCTAGTGCAGTGTTCCGCAACCAGTGTGCCGTCAAAAGGTGAAAGCTGTGCCACGAACTTTTACCTGTTGTAAGAAATTAATTGTAGAATTTTATTCGTTTTATTTTATCGCAGTTACCGTGTTTCATATGCTTGTATTTTATTCACAGCCACTGCACTGATTAAATAAGATGATGCTTGTTTATTCTTTATTACATGCTGTGATTTTTTATATACAGTAATGTTGTATTCTAAGAAATGAAACAAAAATTATCTGCTCACAGTTGTTGTTATATCATAATTTTCATTATTGATTTACTTTTATTTTTCTCGCATCTAAGCAGCTTTCTGATATGCTTGCCGCATGTTCTGTGTACGTACTTTTCCCTAAACCTGCAGGGATTAGCATGAGTTTTCCTGTCTTTTATAACGCTGTTTTGGTATTTGCCCTTCTTTGTTAGAATTAGAGTTTCTTCAACTTTGACTTTCTTCCTGTAACGATGCACCCATCGATTGTTGGACTTCATTTAAATTTATAAATATTTAAAAAATAAGTCGGTATAGTGTCACTTCTTCCGTTTGAAGAGTAGAGATCCCGCGTTTTACAATTGTTTCGTTTCTATCACAGCTGTGCTCTGAAGTAGTTCGCAAATTTTGGTTGCTAGTTAGAGAATTACAGATGGGTCGTTTGAGATGTCCCCTGACTGTATGGCCACTTGCTGACTGCAATAAAGTGGTGATGGAGACACAATTAAAGGAGTTAGAAATGCTGCAGTAGAAATTCAATAAGTATTTTGGAGAGAGTGTACAAGATTTCGCCTGGGTTCATGATCCATTTGTTGTGAATTCAGAACATCTTCCGATTAATATACAAGAGGAATTCATAGATTTAAAAGCAGAGAGAATATTGAAACTAAAACTTCTCGAAGTGTCAATAAGCAGTGGATATNAATTGTTTCGTTTCTATCACAGCTGTGCTCTGAAGTAGTTCGCAAATTTTGGTTGCTAGTTAGAGAATTACAGATGGGTCGTTTGAGATGTCCCCTGACTGTATGGCCACTTGCTGACTGCAATAAAGTGGTGATGGAGACACAATTAAAGGAGTTAGAAATGCTGCAGTAGAAATTCAATAAGTATTTTGGAGAGAGTGTACAAGATTTCGCCTGGGTTCATGATCCATTTGTTGTGAATTCAGAACATCTTCCGATTAATATACAAGAGGAATTCATAGATTTAAAAGCAGAGAGAATATTGAAACTAAAACTTCTCGAAGTGTCAATAAGCAGTGGATATCCGGCTATCTCCAAGATGGCAGTTAATGTGTTATTGCCATTTTCAACTACATATTTCTGTGAACTGGGCTTCTCGACATTAACTGAAATTAAGACATCAAAGAGGGAGCGGCTCAAATCCATCGATGAAGAAATGAGACTTGCGTTGTCAACGATTCCACCACAGATCAGTCGCCTGTGTGCAGCTACGCAGTCACAAGTATCACATTGAGGGTATGAGTAGAATTACTGTAATTACTTTAATAGTAATAGAAGTGTATTTTCTACACTCTACAGTGAATTAAAGTTCATTAATTGTTAATAAATGAACAAGTCGATTTCTGTTTAATGATAATAAAATAACAATATAATAATATTATAGTAATAAGTTGATCACGTTACGTATTTATATTGTCTGATATCATGCGTTTTTGAGGGGAATAACATTTTGGTGTGCCGTGTTGAGTCATGGATACTTCATGGTGTGCCGCAGGTAGAAAAAGGTTGCAGAACACTGGTCTAGTGTGCTAAGATATACCATCTGCCCTGTGTAATTGGGCCTCATGATAGTCACCTGTTTTCATGGAGTTCCAAGTTCACAAAATCTTAATTACACTAGATCCGTTGAAAGGATATGTAATTCAAATTTGTTTATATAAAGAATTTGTGGTCATGGACTAAAAAGGTTGCTGCAAGGTCATCACTACATCAGCAGACCAAATGAAATTAGTAAATCATTTAATTGTCTGAAGTACAACTTTATTTTTGACATACCTTTAATAAAATACAAATTACATAAACACTTCCTTTGTGCAAGTAATATAGTAAAAGTAACTTTACAAGACTTCCAACCAAGTAGAGGCATGTTATTTTATACAGTGGGTATGGCACTCTCATTTGAGAAAGTTCAATAAATGTTTGCATTTCCTGATCTTTTATTGGATTGCTTAATTGCATCAATGAACACATGCAATCAAATTTAAATCCAAAGCTTGATAATCCTAATTATAAATCTGATGACTGCCTTAAAGTCTTGCAACACGCATACCAGATATCAGCACTATTGCTAATTTGCAGAACATTTCCAGTGATACCAGAACACTGTAGCAGCAAAAGGCTTACCCACAAGAACACAAAGCAGGACTCATTTGTGACATAGAAAGGAGGTTCAGATAGAAAGAGGCTACTTAATTGTGAAGGGTGGTGCCCTGGTGCTACATAGATCACTTAACGGAGCTATTACAATCCGCAACTTTAGAACATCCCTGTTATGGCCCACTAAATACGGACTACTCGTTCCTCCGGTAGATGCCCCTCCTGGAGGACTATTCAGCTCATCAAATGACAGCAAGTCATCAAAATTCAAAACATTATCAGTCTCTCCAAAATGGTGATTACGTTCGATAACTGTCCTGATGTGTTCAACACCATCTTGAACGCCATGAATTAGGATTCCTACTTTGACCCGAGTATGACCTGCTGGAGGAGGGTCCCTGCACATCACAGAGAGACGCACTGTACGCAGCACACTTTCTGGTATCTCCACAGTTCCCTGCCAAACAATCAGGTAAAACTTACGGAACCACACCCCTTTAGGATACACATCAACCACCCACTCACAGGCATGGTCGCCAGCATGCTCTGCCAGAGACGACCGACTTGAGAATACTAGCGTACGAGTATGATACGCAGGTAGGAGGAGAAAGTTCTCCACTGACAGCAACGTGCTCCATGTGTCGGCTGTGTAAAGACGAGGCGTGAACAGCAATCGTCCCTCATCAGTCTGGAGTACATCCTGTACGAGTTGGGTCTGACCTGTATTAAAATTGACATTTATTCACAATTTAAATCTCATTCTGTCACAAATGGTATTCAACTTTCAACTTGTAAACCTTTGTACCTGAATGGAACGCCATCCCAATGGCCATGCGTTCCACAAAGAATTCCTTGTAGGTCTTTGTTAGCGGAGAAAGGAGTAGGTCGGCAAGCTGCCGTGGTGACATCATGGGAAAGCGGACGTGCGACATCACCTCTACTACCAACTGCTCCATGTGGGCATCTATATCATCACTCATATTGGTTACATTATGGGATAACCGTTCTTTTTGTAGATCCAGCCACTTAACTACACAACTGCAAAATGAACACAAAGGTATGAGGTCATTTCAAATACAGTTTTCAGAATATCAATTGTGAGATATTAACTTCCTGCAGCACAAATTTGAGACATCTTCAGTGTTTGAATTACATTCAATTTTCTTTTCCTAATTTACATTTATTGTAGGGAACCAGGGTAGCTCAGTCGGTATAGCGACTGGCTATGGGCTGGACAACTGAGGGGTTGGAGTTCAAGTCCCCGTAGGGTCAAGAATTTTCTCTTCTTGTTGTCCAGACAAGCTCTGGGGCACACCCAGCCTCCTATCCAACGGGTACCAGGGGCTCTTTCCCTGGGGGTAAAGCAGCAGGGACATAAATCTGATCACTCACCTCCAGCTTGTGCCAAGGTCATGAAAATGTGGTTCTACACATCCACTCCCCTATACACCTTCATGGTGTAGTGCTTAATTAGTTAAGCACAGGGACAACTTTACCTTTTTACCTTACATAAGTTGCTTTCTTATGCTATTACCACTTGATATAAGTCACTAATACCATCTGAAGTCTATTCTGTAGCTTCTGGTTGTGTGGGGTCCAAAACGGACGACAAAAAGTGCAGGATCTCCTGCCAGACAACAGAACAAATCCTGTTTTCTTTCAAAGTCTTTCTCTTCCTGCATCTGCACTGAGACAGCCCCATGGAGCAAACACAACATTCAGGAGAGTGAGAGCTATTTTCAAACTTCCAAATGAAGAAGAATTCACTCAGCCAAGTATGGGCATTGGGTCACCATGTTTTCATGTTTCTTAGCACACACAGGTCTGTTATAACTTTCCGGACACCCCTTAATCCTTGCATGGCCATATACAGTGTCAAATATATTCTTCTATGCAGCCTCAGGCCCCTACAGCCCCTGGTAACCCTCATACAGAAAGCTGGGTGGGCATGATAGCCAGTCTGGATGCTATGGTGAAGAGTATAGAGATATTTCATAATTCCCAAAAGGGCGTAATTCCATAACACAGAGGGAGCATGGGACAAAGAAAACTGTTCACAGCTTTTACAAATCAAGAAATAAGGTGCTATACACAGAAGAAAGTGCAACTCACCCAGTGGAATGCTTTTCAGTTTACCTGTAGAGTGTCATTTCATTGTGGATGACAAGATCATTCTGTTGAAGCAGAGTCACGAGAATCTCTGGCTCAAAGTTGCCAAAGTCTGTGGTTTCTGCCACAAGCTCCAGGTTCCATTTCACAAAGTTCTGGCACACCTGTAAATAACAATAAAGCGGCATAATGAAAAATTTAATCTGTTCAACAGCATAGCTACTCTGTCGATGGAAGCAGCAGGTTCCTCTGAAACACTGGTATCTACCTACCACACCACGTCACATCCCAGAAAACAGCAACCTTAGTTGTATAGTAATGACTAAAACATGTCTGTACTTTGAGTAACAATTATTCAAGTTTGTGAATATGAAGTAAATAAATAATGGGTACTTACATGTTACCATGTGGTCCAGGTAACTTCCAAAATTTACCATGTTATCTGTCATGTCATGTTGCTGCCAACGGTAAAAGTTTATTTGTAAAACCAGAGCCTAACCTTAGGTTTTTATACACTTATTCTTACAAATAAAACCAAGAGCCTATGCTTCCAGGTTTGTCATTGGGAGCAAATTCTAAGGTTAGGCTTTGGGCCTTGTGTTTACAAATAAACTTCTGAGGCTGACAGTACTAATGTGTTAAGCAACATGGTAATACATTTTGTAGTTACGTAGATCACCCATTAATATGTACATACAAAAAAAGTTCAGTGTGTTAATCTGTGGTGGATTAACACAAAACACAATTTGAAGGATAAGGGTTACCCCTTTCCCATACTTTTGATTTACAATCTCACTTCAGCAGTCACAAATGAATTCGTGCAAAAACAAACTGCAATATGGAAAAAAAAAACAAAGCTCCTGCCATCTGCTGTTCCTACATGGATTACTAGAAAATAGGTCACAGAATGTAAAGGTCAAATATACAGGAATCAACACCCGAATATAACACGACAGAAAAATCTCCCAACAGAGGACCTGTACAAGAAGATTATGTTGTTGAAACAATCCTGATATTGGTTAGGATTCAGTTACAAACTGGAATGACCAGGAGCCATACCTGGGCAACCTGATAGTGGCCGCATGTCAGTGTATACTGCAGCCATGAGATAAGTTGATTGTTTGCAGCGGCATGTGCTATGTGCTCACACATGTATTCGACACACAGTTTAACGAGATCCTGAAACCAGAAGAAACAGACATTCCAGACATGGTACGTGAACAACCTATAGAAACGGGACACAAAAATATGTAACAAAAAATACTGCCTTTAAATGATACTATTACAAGAGAGCATTCAGAAGTTGCCACATACAGCAACATATTCAAGAGGTGTTCACTTTTGATTTCCTCATGAATGACAACTATCCTGAGATTTTCTGCAGTCCTTCCATGCAAATGCCAAAATATTATTTCTTCCTTCCACATCTTTCCAAATTCATTATTCACTATCATCTTACTGTGCAATGCTATACTGTAAGAAGAACTGACAACACTGTTACATAAGCCACAGATAAAAATAAACAGAGGAAAACAATAATATGCTAGCACAAAAATCCAGCTGAAATAACAGCATAGAATTGTTGAAAACAACTTCATCAGAATTACTTAACCTTGAAAACTTGTGAAGTCCCAAAATAGACAGCTACACCGACAAGATATTAAAACTTGACTGGCTAACAATATGCCACTATTTGTATAAAATGTTTTCAAAGCAAACTTTGTCAAAAATACCTGATCACTCTTCCTCTTTAACTTGAAATAGAACATACAATGACAATCATCTAGTTCATCAGTAAACCAAGGCTATGCCACACTCAGGTGGTTAGTCACTGGATTCCCACTGTGGCAGCCCATGTTAAATCCAGGTTCAGGTAATGTGGGATCTGTGCTGGACAAAGTGGCACTGGAGGCGATATTCTCTAAGTACTCCAGTTTCCCCTGCCAATTTTCATTCCAACTGCACAAAATTCATTAATCACCCTATCACTGAAACCATATAGTCTCAATAGTGACAGCATCATTAAGTAACAAAATTAAAAATAAATGGACAACAGCTTGACCACCTGTAACAGTGATTAAATGATTTGGCCATCAGATAAAAAATGGATATCACTCACCTTAATGAGAGTTTTATATACCTGGGAAGCATAGTAGCTCAAGATGGAGCAGCAGATCAAGACACAAATCAAAGAATAAAAACAGCAAATATAGCTTTTATACAATTATATCAGGCACGGAGGAACAAAAATCTTTCAGAGAAAACTAAATTATGGATTTTTAATACTAACATAAAATCATGGGAAATATTAAAAACAAGCACGAACAAACTACAAAGATTTGTACATAGGTGTTCCAAGATGCATTTTAAACATAAGATGGCCAGACACTATACCAAATAATTCTCTGTGGGAGATTACAAAACAAGAACCAACTGACATCCAAATTAAAAAGACGAAATGGAGATGGATCGGGCACACTTTAAGGAAACCAGCTGGCGCGACAGAAAAGGAACCCCAGGGTGCTAGAAGGAGAGGCCAACCAAGGACAACTTGGAGAAGGACAACAGAAGAGGAAATAACAGAGATGGGAGAGACCTGGAGTGAGGTGAAGGCATTGGCAAACCAGAGGAGAGGATGGAGAAGCTTCACAGGAGACCTATGTTCCACTCGGAACTAAAGGAATTACGTCAGTAAGCCAAGTCACTCACCTTAACATTATATTTATCAGCCAAGCCAAGTACTGGCATAACTCTCAGGTGGTTGATCCGAATCTGACCGGTATAGAAGTACCTAAGAAAATCCCCAAAGATAGCAGCACATGCTGGTGTTTCCTGAAGCACCACGCTACTTTCCTGTGATTCACTCCATTCAGGATTCATCAGCATCACCTGCTCAACAAAACTAGATGGCAGCACCTACACATTCCTTCTTTTTGGGGCCTGTCTGTTAACAATTTACATATGAAACAATTGCAGCAATGGATGGACAGAACATGGACACAAAGAAAGACAACAGAATTTGATTTAAAGGAAAAAGACAGACATAAGGGACAATCAAGAAAGTGGTGGTCCTGTCAGGTACTGAGAGGAAAGAGCTGACAAGAAATTGAAAAAGGGAGAGACTGTAGGAGAAAAGCAGACTCTGGAAATTTCTTTGTCCATTCATGAGCACAACAAAATGGAAATCATGTTAGAAGAAGATTAAAAATCATTCTCAAAGCGCATCCAGTAACATTTTCCTAAGACGAATAATTCCTTTCGTTACTGCCACCCCTCCACATGTGTACCTAATGTTAATATTCTACAACTTAAAGTAGTTCAACCTTATTTTCGCTTGTAAAAAAATTTGTCCCTTTACTTAATCATGCATTATGCCGTCAGATGTAAAGGAGAGTGGCAATTCGGGTCCACACATTATTGAGCTCAGCTTCACGTCCTGGCTACTACACCCCTGGGGAAAAAGTCCCCAGTACCCACTTGATACAGCCTGGATGCTGTGGAGAAGAGACGGGTTTATTTACTCCTTATACGCACCACCAGTAATTACATGTTGCATGTCTGCAAGCAATCAAACTCTGATTTCTCTGTCATCGTCCAGGCTGTAGCCTACTTGTCTTACTGGGTGAACTAACCTAAGTGGGAAAAAAAGCTTTTTATGTAGCCCATTCATGACCTAGGCCACTTCTGAGGCACCTTTTCTTTTAATCCCGTTCTGCAGACATAGAACCTGCTGTGAAGATTAAGAAAAACCATACCATGTCTCACATCTGCAAACCTAGCTGAAATACAAAAATGTTTAGACAACCTCAGAAACTGGGTTGAGGTAAACAGAATGCAGATGAAGGAAGGGAACATTAGCCATGCCTCATTGATTTGCATGAGTAAGTGGATGAGTAAGTGAGTGAGTGTATATATAGCATTTATGATTAGCTAAGTCTGGATAAAGTCAACTCAAAGCATTTATTAAACCCAGTTAAAGCATAATAATAAATAAAATTAAATGTTTCTCAAACTGTATAGTGGTCTGCGTAACAGTAAACTGTAACATGAACCAGAGATAAATACCAGATTAATGCTAACAATTAAACAGGTTCTATATGTTGCAGTGATAACTTAAAAATGTACAATAATGTGCTGTGTAAAGGCATTGCTGCAAGAGACAGGTGAACACACGACTGTTTCTGAGCAACAGCTTGGTAAACACATGAACAATAAAATGAGCTATTGCTAGGCAACTGCTTTGTAAACAGGTTCCCATGGAAATGAACACACACGCAACATGTAATTATTGGTGGTGCATATAAGGAGTAGATAAACCACTTCTTACAATCCCGAACCCCCATCTTTAGTCACTGATACGTGGGACAATATCATGAGCCCTGCACTTCATGGAAAAAGTGGAATAGTTGGAAGTCTTCGCCAGCTGAATCTTGCCTCATTCAAATTTCATAAACTTTGGATATACTCATATACGAGGTCCATGCTGGTTATGTAACAAGATCTAAAAGTTTGTGAAGATAGTGCATTAATATAAATATTATGTTTCTTCAATTCAGCTGCTACCTATTCAATAACATAAAAACTTTATGATTCAATAAGGTATCTTGAACAAATTTTCCATAAAACCTAATTTTATCATTAAATGTAGTACTTTATAGTGAGAAGAAATTATCCTTAGGCTGACCATCTCTCACACCTGTCCACTGCTCGCTACTGAAACATCACATTAGTTCATGCAGTGCTTGCTGCTGTCGACAGCAGCGCACATTTAGTTGTTTAGTGGTCCTTGAGATCATTACAAGTACAACTACCAGTGTTGTGAAATATAAGTGTTCAGAAATGAAGAACAGTGCTGAAGAGAAATAATTCATGTAAGACATTTTTGTACAACATTCTTCAGGAGGAAATGCCGCATTCTGTATCCTGACAGTACAATGTCATGTAGAGCACCAAATTTACAATACTGTAACAAAATTACATTCTACAGAATTCGTTCTGGAAAAGAAAACATCTCAAAAGAGACATACTGACTGAAGAAAAACTTGCCAACATTGGTGCTCAATCAGAAAATCCTCATGCTGTTCATTAAGTTCCACTGTATGGTTTGAAAGTTGGGGTTTCATGTGAAATTATTGGGCAAGTGGTTTTTCACAAAACAAATTCCAAATGCTGTTGACTGCCACGGTTCTTTGATCAACTGATTGATGATGAAAAATTATATGGGTATTTTATGTCAGATGATGCAATGGTGCAAATAATTCTATTAACGCATTATATGAAGTCTTTAGTGAACAAGTCGTAAGTCAAGGACTGCTGTCTCTGTGACCAACCAATTTAAATTGTGACTTCTGGTTCATGGAGGGGCATGCTGAAAATAAAAAAAGTGCAGGTGAAAAATCCACATTCTTTGCAAGAAACTTCATGAAAAGATTAAGTATGAAATGTCTGTCTGCTATGCTCATACAACAGCTTAGCCATGTGCCTGGAAACATTTTCTTACAATGTGAGGCATGCTTAGAAGTAGAGGGTCAACAATTTGAGACTCTTGTACAAAATAATACAGCAGAAAAGCTAGATGTGAATTATCAGCTAAAACAGGTCTATGTGAGAAGACTGTTCTGTCAGCTGTGGCAAACAGTTTAAGGATAATCTGCCCTCCATGTAGTTATTCACTTTGAAATCCTTTTATGTCCACCATACACAACACAACTAGTCGGTGCATTTCAGAAAAGAAACTGGAACGAAACTGCCAGCATGTTTAAACTATAAATATAAAATAAAATGGTGAGCTCCATACCTGAAAAACTTCACTTGAAGCACAAAGTATGAGCCGATGTGCTGGATATTCTGTCCCCCCAACCACAAGGCAAATATCACTCATCAATCGCTCTGCATACAAACTGGCAATCTTCAGCAGAACGGTAGCTGAATTATCAACCTGCAAATAGAAACATGAAATAGGTTTTAACGTAAATTATACAAGCAGAATACACTATACAGTTCTACATACAGTTCATACATGCCTCAATATCTCCCATTGAATTCGATGCTGCACCATTATCTGCCTTCGTAGAACCATTATTTTCCACTCTTTCAGGAGCAGGCTGATGATGCGTGTCTCTAGAGGGTGCTGCTCGAAACATTCTATTGCTATGGAGCACGAATACAGGCCACTACAACACCACATATCTACCAGGGTTAACAAATATTTGATATTTATCGGTATAATAGTTCTATGAATTGTGCAACAATCCCACAAGAATAACACAAGCTACACAGCATAACAAAAAAAAAACAATATACACTTAACAATAGTTAACAACCTACCTGAACTTAAAATGCGTTCTGTACATATTAAAATTCGTTTTCCGTTTCAATTATGTAGTTGTACAATCTTCCTTTCATAAGATTTCGGCCACCACAACTATATAAACCTTCTGCATCCGTTCCTACGGGTTCCTATCGGGTCACTACATTAGTGGTAGACACTTTTGATTGCAATCTGCCATATCTCCATACATTCTCACCACCACTCCACGAACCTCGCGACATTTTCCTTTCCCTGCGAGCAGTTCCACAGGTTACAGTTGAAAGCATGGATTACTAAATAGTTGACTTAGGAACACATATGCATCTCAGTGTCACTTCATGAAAACAAAACCGTTTTCTCCGTTTCTAAAGTGTCTACTAGTTTCACTATTTACTACAATATAATTTTTTTACTCCATGCCATGTTATCTAAAAAGCGAGAACTTTATAGGAGACAGCTCTTTCTTCTGCGATGTTAGTCTGTGTAGTCCAATAAAACTCAGCAGGCGTTTCGGAAGAATGTGTCACTTCCATCGTCAAGGTAAAAGAGTAAGCAAACAGCAAGCGGCAAGGAGAACAGCCTGCTAATTACTGGTTTCTTGATTTGCTCACACTTCGACTCTGAAGAGGAAGGCGATATTTTCTTTTGAATCGTCGATTGACTCTTATCAAACTATAAGATATTACGTCCAAGAAAGCTGTATGAAAGCTGGTGGTACACGATCTGGGGCCCTGGTTGTGTACATAAGAAGTACTTGCTAAGGGTCGAAGGCTATAATTGGAGTTGTGGATTATACAATATGTCTATCGTTCATGATCTTCATGATATTGTCTGCGGTACGTGAAATGTCTAAACCTGATCAAGTCAATGATTGACGGTAATTGGCGCGAAATGGGAACTGTTCTATTTGCCTGCATTGTATGTTCATTCTCGTTCATTCTGAGGCAATTTAAGTAGTAACAAGTACGCACCATCGGGTGAGTGTGGAGGTGAATATATGTATTAACAATTTAGAGTAGAGAAGAGTGTTGGTAATGGAGTATTCTCGAAGGATAAGGTCGATTTCGTCCAGGCAGTCTGTCCAAGCGGGCAGTCTTGTGGAAATGTACCCTAGTGACTTACAGCTGTACAAAGTTCCGCCCATTTCAAGTATTTCACTTGCAGAATTTGAAGGTCTAGCACAAGAAAGGTTGAAATTATTGAGGACAGTTGATAATATCAACTTACGGGGACTGAATAAATATTCAGATGAATGGAAAAACACTTTTATAACTGAGTTAAAGAAGTTGGGATTGAAAAGCTTTGCCAAATTGATAAATGGAACTGGTTGCGGCCATACAGAGTCAGAATTGCAGGCCCGAAAGCGAGACCATATATCTCATTTTATATTGCGTCTTGCATATTGCAGATCAGAAGATTTGAGGCGATGGTTTATTTCAAGAGAACTAGATTTGTTCAGAATGCGATTTAGCTCTCTGAGTGCTGAAGGAATACAGCGTTTCATGCAAATCAACGATTTAAAATATGAACCAATCTCGGAGACTGAGAAGTCAAAGTTAAAAGAGTGTCTGTTTGAATCGTCATATATGATTCCATCAATGGCCAGTTTAGCTGCACACGAATTTTACCGTGTTCCATATACTGACGTGCAGGACCTTGTTCGATCTCGAAAAGTTTACTTGTCTTGTGGGTATGCATATGTGCCCAGTAGCGACTTGGTATCTATACTATCAACAGTCTTCAGAACTAATTTGGCTCATGGTATGGCAATGACTGCTCGTATGCTCCCCACTTTGGAGGGTGATGAACGTATCTTTCGACTGTTGAAGAACCTGCATCACAGTTATACCGGTGAAGAATATTCTGCTCTGAAGAACTCCAACATTAGCAGTGTACAGTTGGACCAGCTTGATCTGCTTTCTCGTCATTCCTTTCCTCCATGCATGAGGAAGCTACACGAACATCTACGTTCAAATCACCATATGCGTCATGGTGGTCGAATGCAGTATGGTTTATTCTTAAAAGGTATAGGACTTTCGTTGGAGGATGCCTTGCGTTTCTGGAGAGATGAATTTACCAAGCAAATTGATGCAGATAAATTTCAGAAGCTGTATGCATATAACATACGGCATAATTATGGTAAGGAAGGGAAACGTACGAACTACACACCATACAGCTGCATTAAGATAATCATGTCAAATGTGGGACATGGCGATGCTCACGGATGTCCATTTAGGCACAGTGACTTACCACATCTGAAACAGCAGTTACTTGCATGGAAACTTCCAGTTGCTGGAATTAACGAAGTGGTAGAATATGTCTCTCAGGGCCACTTCCAGTTGGCATGTGGCAAGTACTTCCAGCTTACACATGGTATACAGTCTGATGTAAACATCAATCATCCAAACCAGTACTTCATGGACAGTCAGAATGTTTTAAGTGGTAAACATGTTAACGGAGTGGCTGAAAGGGGAATGCCGGAGGGAAAAAAGATGGCTGCATCTGCAATAGAAGATTTGTGGGGTGATGATAAGGAGCTAGAGTCCATTGATGTTGATGTGCAGTAGGCTGAAGCAATGAAATTTGACAAATAGAAATGGAAGTAACAGTGAATGTGACATCCTTTCCTTCAGAATTGTGAACAAAATGTTTCCAAAATTCTCTGCTTTGCTCTGTAGGACATACATTATGTAAGTTAACTAATTTCTTCAGTATTTTACTTTATTGCATGGGATTTCTTGTGCTGTGTCAGTAAGCTGATAGCGAGATTGTGATGGCATTTTGCTTGTAGCCAGTGTGGTTTGCAAAGCTGTGTAGGCTACCATTTACGGTGGAATCAGTTCACTGTTGACTTCAGCAGAGGTCAAACATTTTTGGACATCTGGTAGCCAGTATTCTGTGTTCGTTTGCTGTGGCTCTCACCTCTTCTCAGTTCACAAGATTCATGTCTTCCTCTCCATGCAGGTGCATTTCCTGTTATGTAATTGCATACAAATCAGATAGGTTATTTAAAAATGTACCCTTTAGTCACTACATGTTTTATCTCACTTGTGGCTCATCATCATGTGGTGTAAATACATTTTTTGCAACAATAAACCAAGAGCAGCAAGCATTAATAAAATATAACATGTTTCCAATTCATCTCATAAGGGTTACATAAGAATTGTTGCTATTACACACCATTAAAATGAAAGATTTTAATATTAAAGACAGTTGAAATATAATTAGATGCTTCATGTAGTTTTGTTGATGCTGTACAGTTTGTGCCCATTTTTGGGGGCAGTAAATTCTTGTGTATAATTTGCTATCAATGTGATTTCATAAAATTTGGGGGGGGGGCAGTATTTTGTATGATGCAACTTTGTAAATGAAGCTGTGAGTATATTCTTAACTGTGCAGTAAATAAGTGCCCCTGGTTGAGTGTGATGGTAAAGCTATATCCCTGTAACAGGCCGTGGAGGCCCCTAGGGTTGTGAGACATCGAGGCTCACAGATGGCAGTGAGGCTGTCAGCCTTACACGCTGGCTACCCTTTACCCCCCACAAAGATTCCTGGTACTCATTTCTGTTAGAGGCTGTGTCGACCCCAGGGCCATAGTGTGGCTGGAAGGATTAGGTATATTGAAAAATCCAGTGACCTCACTGGGTATCAAACCCATGACCTTCATTCAGCTTGTAGTGTCTCAACAGACTATGCTACCATGTGCGCCAGTTGGAGTGTGATGAGACCCTGAAGATGGAGGCAGTATGTTCCTCCAAAATGTTGGTATCCAATGAGACCATGGTATCACAGTCCAGGACACCACAATCTGAACACTTACTGTACCAGCAGGTATTTATTCTGGAAACAGATTGCTCCTGTAGATGTGATGTAATAATTTTGTTAGGCTCCAGTTCTTTATGAGTTTGTATGTGTGTAAGCAGCATCCACTATTTCTTTTGCCAGAATATTCACGTGGAAAAACAATATTTAAAGGAAGTATACAACATGTTTTAGAATATTTCTTTTGCCAGAATATTCATGTGGAAAAACAATATTTAAAGGAAGTATACAAAATGTTTTAGAATATTTCTTTTGCCAGAATATTCACATGGAAAAACAATATTTAAAGGAAGTAATTCAAATATGGCAACTAAATGTTTTAGAATATTTCTTGTAATTCTCTTGATACGTACTGTAGAGACATACCAAAACTAACATTTACAACATTTTTAAAACTGTGCCTCAAACTGTTTGTGTAGTCAAATAATTCTTAACTAAATTTTCAATAAGTCACATGATGACCAGCACACCCACATTCTGCTTACTGTTGCTCTGCTCCCGACCCCTCTGGCCTATGTCAGAACGACCCAAAATGCTTTTAGTCCAGGTTATCATTACCAACATTCCTGTGAAGAGAATGGCTGTATCATTTAAGGAGAATATTGTGATGTATGCTGGATAGGGAAGAGTAACAACTCAAGGGACATAACAGATGGTGTTGATCCATATAACCTCAGTATAGCATATTCATGACACAGCTGAATTTTACTACACTAAATGGACAACTAAGACTGTTATAAGTAAATTTCTACAGCCTGAATTTTCCACTGGCTACACTTGATAAGTCTTGTAAATCTGGTTATCCAAATTTTGTGATTTAATTAGGAGTAAATTTTATTAAGGTCTTCAATCCCAGAGGGGCACGCAGAAGCGTAGTTGGTTGAGGCACTATGCTACAAGCTGGAAGGTCGCAGGTTCAAGTCCCGATGAGGTCGTTGGATTTTTTCAATTGATCTAATCCTTCTGGCCACACTATGGCCCTGGGGTCGACTCAGCATCTAACAGAAATGAGTACCAGGAATTAAATAATTTTCCTGGGGAGTAAAGCGTAGCTGGCGCGTAAGGCTGACAACCTTACCGCCATCTTTGAGCCGATTGTCTCGATAATGTGGGACCCTCAACGTCTCACAACCCTATGGGCCTTCACGGCCTGTTACGGCGATAGCTTTACTTTTTACATCAATACCAGATTTGACTTCACTTTGAATGGCTGTGTTATGTACAAGTGTGACAAACTGTATTAGCCTAATATGAAATGCATATTCACATGTAATGTACAGAGTTCTATTGTAATTTTATAATAATTTAATACATTTTACAATACAATTTTTGAAAGAATGGGGTTTTTTGATTGGCTTGTAGATACAAATTGTATCATCTTTCTCTATTACCCTGGCTGCTAGGCCACACCAGCTTGTTTCATGGGCCACATATATATTGTTCAGTGTACTTATGGTTTGCTTAAGAACTGCTTCAGTATCTTGAAACTAAGTGGCTCATGGCTCCAATTTATATACAGGGAAAATATAGGGTATATAAAAAATACGTGCCAATTATTCAATTTAATCACAGAAAATGCGTGTTCACATATGTTCCAGTAAATAACACTTCATTAAAAGTAAAGGGTAATGTTCCATGAAAGTATACCTTCACCATTCTTGATCTTGGCCCTATATGGAGGTGAGTGGTTGCATCATATCCAAGGACAGAGCTCGTGTTACCCACTGGATAGGTGGCTGGGTGAGCCCCAGAGCCAGTCTGGACACTGTGGAGTACAGGAAAATCTCTTGCCCCTTCCAAGAATCAGACCCTGGCCAATCAGCCCGTAGCCCACTGCTATATTGATTGGGCTATCCCAGCTTTCCAATCATTTGGTTAAGAGTTTTAATTAATGCACAGTATCAATATCTGAATGTCAGTCAAATTGCTTCACTGTCATGGCTCACCTAACATGCAAAACTTCATAGACAATTTCACCAAAATTTGATGAACCTTGTATAAAATAGGCTTTGATATGACTATGAACTGAAACTGCCAAGCTGCTGTCTGACAGTTCTGGCACTAATGCTAGGTCAGATACAGAGGGACAGACAGGACTTTTTTGCTCTCTAAAGAATATTGATTTAAAAACAGTACAGTAAATAATACAGGTGGGATTATGCTGATGACTTATGTGTTTTACCTGTACTACTGTCATGGCTGACATTTTGATTACAAAAGTAAAAAGAGTCCTTTTATTACAATCAAATTTATCCTTGTCTGAGTGTGCCTAGCTTTGTTCTAGTGAAAGGGAAAAAAGGTAACTCTGTCCCTGTAACAGGCCATGAAGGCCCATAGGGGTGTGAGAGGTCAAGGCTGGAAGGATTAGATAAATTGAAAAAATTCACCTCATTGGGACTTGAACCCACAATCTTCCAGCTTGTAGCATTGTGCCTCAACCAGCTACTGGGGTTTTTTACATTAAGAGTGCGGTAACTTATTCATTAGGACCGTGCCATAGCTCAAGCGGTTAGTCGCTGGCTTTCCACCGCGGCGGCCTGGGTTCGATCCTGGGTCTGGTCAAGTTGATTTGTGGTGGACAAAGTGGCGCTGGGGCAGGTTTTCTCCGAGTACTTCGGTTTCCCCTGCCAATCTTCATTCCACCAATTGCTCCACAATCACCCTCACCTATCATCTGGAGCTGGTACAATAGGCCAGAAGTGACCGCAGTACAAGGGACTTAGTCTCACCCCACTAGCATTAAAAAAAACGTATTCATTTGAATATATCAGAAAATTAAATAGTTGTGAGTTTATGTGCCATTACATTTGTTTTACAGTCATGTAATGTTTGTATTCAAAACGCGCTGTTCGGAACAACCTGTAACATACTGCACGTTATTTGTCAGAGCAATTCAAACTGCTTAGCTCATCATGTCTGTTACTCCAGTTCGATACAAGTCAATGTGATTATTTTCAATGCAGCAAATAGTGGGCAGAACTTCTGACAAAGGACAGTACCACCTAGTTAGTGCTCGTTTATGAGTAGAAGAGGTTATGTAACTTTTAATAATATCTTCATGCTTCAGATATTGCCAACGATGAGAACGGTGACCTATTCTGTTATTTTCAAATCCCGTTTCACCCACTTCAAAGAAGAAATATTGCCATACCTACATTATTATTTATGCCTTAGTGCCATGTTATATGCAATTAGAAGTGAGGGTTACAAGACTTATAGTTACACATTGAGCCATGCTGTACTCAGCTGGTTCATGTGTGTTGGATCCTGGCATCCTGCCATTCCTTAACCCCCATCCCCACTGACATTATGCTGACTTCTTTACCGTTATTTCTACCTATCTTGACCACATGACCTTCCTTCCCTCTCCATGATTGTCTCGGAAGGGAGTAGGTGTGCCAACAGTCTGAAGATAGACCTACTCGTGAGTGGTTGCTTACCGGCAGCTGGAGGACTTGGAACTGAAATTCTGTTTCATACTTTTTAATTCTAAATTATATTTGGAGTCTTCAGTCTGGCTGGTAAGGGTAAGGCTGCCCATGGTCACAACAGAATATTCTTGATTCCAGGGTAGTTGCGACTGTTTTTTTTTTATATTATTATTATTTTTTTTTGCCAAATTTTGGTGTAACCTGTTCGATGGCCTAACATGGCTGGGGCAAGTGGGGCAGTTTTGGGTTTCTACTTGTTACAACTGTCCATAATATGTGATTACTTGGGCAATCGCTATTTTCGGTTGTGCCTCACCCTAAAGGGTTTTATGCCTTTATTTGTTTCTGAATATTGTGTGTCAGTTTCCTTGTTATGTTGGCTATTAAATACTGTTATTGGTTGTTTTGAAAGCCTGCATATATAATCATCTCCTCTGTAAATGCTTGGATACCCCATGAACACCTTGGGGAGCATGCGAACGTGACAATTCTATCTTCTGATGTGCTAGTAGAGGAAGTATGATTAGCGGTACGCGTACTGCGAGTGAAGAGAAGAATGAGAGAGATGAGGCGGTGGTGGGGGGGGGGAGAGTGGTTCAACATTTCAACCATTTTTGCATATTGAAAGTGTCTGTTAGAACATGAATTTTTATTAATTTTAAGAATTCCAATAAAAACAAGGTTGCACTGTATTTTCTCCAGACTGGGTTAGAGCAGTTTATGTCATCTGTTTCAATTTGTTAGTGATGGTAGCTTATATAATTTTATATATGAACTTTTAATTAGGAGAAGGGAAGGGAAAAATCAATGTATTTATAGATCATATATAAAATAAACATTTATGTGTGATCGTTAAGTTGTATAAGGGACTATACTTCAAAACATGAACTATACACTTTTTATTTTCAAGAATGCTTCCCTTCTACAGCTGAACAGCTACCTTCACAGAATATACTGATGCTACACTTCAGCATGAATACAAATTAAATCATGAGCTACATATCTGTGAGGGAACTTAAGTGTGAAAATGTATATCACGATATACAATCAATGAAACAGACCAAGCTTAATCATATAAAATTACATGCTAAAAATAAAAGGTTACATACTTTGTGCCTCTCCATACAAAGAGATTTAACACATACATTTTGAATATCTGATGATAACGTTTATTTCTTTCTACCACCTCTTTCCTTCAGTTGCAAGTTGATGATTGTACCAGGCATAATGTTGTAATATGCCAGGGAATTTGAATCTTTGAAAAACAAACCCTGTAACATAAACAAGAATTTTCAAAATGTCGTTATTACCACTGAATCTTACCATCATGTACATGGTGTGTTCAAAAAATATCGAGCCTTCTGTTTTCCTGCGTAAACCAATGAAGCGCGGGAGGCTCCCTTCGGTGGAGATGTGGAGGGGACATTCATGCGCAGTCGTGAATTTTTTCACGCCCGAAGAAAGCGTCAGTCGCTGGCAGTCGGCCTATGAGTGACGACGTGTAGTGAGCGCTCGTCGGATTCCAGTAAGGTGTAAAATGACGGAACAACATGAGCAGCAATATTGCATCAAATTTTGCCAAAAGATTGGCGATACCCAAGTGGAAACCATTCGCGAACCGCGTTCAGGCAGACCCTCAACAAGCCAAAATGAGAATGTCATTGAGCAAGTGCGGACTTTGGTCATGGGGGACTGTCGTATCACAGTCCAAGAACTTGCGAATGAGACTTGGGTAAGCACTGGATTGGTACATTCAATTTTGACCGAAGATTTTGGCATGAAGCGAGTGTCTGCGAAATTCGTACCGAAACTGCACATCTGATTCAGACTTTCGTTGCCAAACACGACATCCCTGTGGTTCGTCGGGCTCCCTACTCCCCCGACATGGCTACGTGTGACTTTTGGCAATTTCCCAAGCTGAAAATGCCGCTGAAAGGAACCCGATTTGAGTCAAGAGAAGACATCATGCGGAATGCGAGGGCCCGGCTGATCACCATTCCAAAAGACGCGTTCCAGAAGTATTTCCAACAATGGCGGAAGTGCTGGGAGAAGTGTGTGCATTACCAAGGAGATTATTTTTAAGGGGATTAGGGTTTTGTACCTCCAAATCAATAAATGTATTTCTGCCAACCAAAGGTTCAATACTTTTTGAACACACTACGTATGTCGAATCAATAAAACCACACAATACAATTCCACATTTTATTAATCTATTCAACAAAACCATTTTCACCCTACTTCTCCTGGCCAAATTCTGTCATCTTCAGGTGTGTTTAACCAAGTGCAAAAGCTGAAGAGTACCATCTTTTGGAATGCGGCAATGTGTAGTCTGGTAAAAGGTACTGACATTTCAGAGAAACCTGCCATGTCCACAGAAAAGTAAGCTGCATGAAAAAATGTGGGTTCAGACATTGGGAGGCCTGCACAGGTTTCCTACTCATCTAGGAGTCATTGCCAACCCTAAGAAGCCATAGAAAATAATACCTCAGGTGAGAAATTTTAGTTCAGAAACTAACAGAGAACTGAAACATTTTCACATAAATACTGATAAGTTCCTTTCATGCTTCAGGAAAACCTGATGCTCCGGTGCTAGGTGTCATGAAAACTGTGAACTATTTTCTGCCACTGCTAGGATATGGGGAGAGGAATGACAATAAGGTAAAGCTATCCCTGTAACAGGCCGCAAAGGCCCATAGGGTTGTGAGAGGTTGAGGCTCCCACATCGTCTAGAAAATCGGCTCACAGATGGCTGTAATATTGTCAGCCTTACGCGCCGGCCGCCCTTTACCCCCGAGGGAGAATTCTGGTACTCATTTCTGTTAGAGGCTGAGTCGACCCTAGGGCCATAGTGCGGCTGGAAGGATTAGGTAAATTGAAAAAAATTCACCTCATCGGGACACAAACTCGCAACCTTCCAGCTTGTAACACCATGCCTCAACCTACTACACTACCGCGAACCCCCGCAATGACAATAGGATGATGGGAAAGGAATACAGCAGAATGAGGAATGAAACAGAAGGGGTGAAGGGATGAATGTTTAACATAATTGTAGTTTCTTTGTGGTTTATTTTATGATGCTGACAGTACCCACAACACACTGTCAGCTGGTAGGACAGATGAACTGGAAAGGGTTGGGAAGGAAGTGGTCATGGCCTCATCAAAGTATTGTACCAAAATTTGTCTCCAGGGACTAAGGAAACCTAAGAAAAAACTTCACTCAGGATAGTCAGCATCCATCCCTGACAAGATTTAAACTGAGCACCTCTGGAATGCCAGTTTAGCATATTACTGGGAGACCAACCTGCTGTGCAGCTTAAACTCAGGCGGGAGAGGAATGGAGGACTGATGCTGGAATCAATGAAAGGCTCTAGAAAACAATATAAGAGGGAAGGAAATTCTGAGTGCTATCAACAAAATTTTACGTTATGTGGGAGCCTACCACAACACTAGGCAATCAGTGCAGACCACAGCAGTGCCAATGTCCACTGGGTCAAGCGTTGCTAGTGACAGCAAAAAAAGATGCATACCTCTGGGACACTAGTCAGTCAGTCGGAGCTACTCTCATGTCAAGACATCTCACCTGGAGTGCACAGAGCAATAGCAAGTCTCCTAGCAGCATCATCATCAGCTGACTGCTAGTGCTTGCCTAGACTCACTGGGAATTTCACTGCCAGTGCTTTCCACCCTATGGCAGGTTTGCAGTCGACCAGCTGCCGACCCAAGAAAGACTGAAGTCCCTACTGCAAGCCAGCCTGCTGTGGCTGGAACTTCGCCCGGCATTCAACAGGCATGTCCTGCCTTAGAGTTATGGCCCTTTTCAGGGCTACACAGTACCTTACCGGTTACTGCATCCCCTGCTTCCTCATCTGTACACTCTTCCAACAGCAATAAATGTTACAAAAATTTATGAGGTTCTCTCTGTGTGCTACCGGAACAGACATCCCACAGTGCCATAGTGACCTAGCACCTGATAATGCGCAGGGCAGGATATAGGTAAAGGAAAGAATGAAATCAAGCTGTGGGTGAGGCCTCAATTTCCTTCTATACATCTGTACCTTCGTTTTCCCACATAGCTCACTCTACCTTGAAGACGGCACAGCATGTTACTCTGAAATGCCAGTACTTTCCTGCCAGACTACATGGTGTAACATCACAGAAGATCAGTGTTCAAGTATCATGGTAATATGTGGCCCATACTTTACTTAATGAATACACGTACCTCCCATTGCAGCTTCTGTTTTCCAGGAGGCATGCCTGTCTCCTCGTGGATTTTTGCCTTTATAACAGACACTGTATCCGATAATGGCAGTGTCAGAGTTAGCAACTGGCCTTTCAATCGCCACTCTGGTTTCTCACTCATGTTAGGTACAGNATAATAATAAAATTTTTCGAAAATATTTAACAGTACTCAGACGTTCAAAAATGTATCTTCTTACAATTTGAATTAATATTAAAAATCGGCTCAATTATATGTGGTTACGGAGGGCGCCAGAAAAATATACCACGGGCGCCGAGTTGGACAGGGCTGCTCTACAGTACCTTGTCACAAGCCTGTACATGCTGAGGATGGCCAACTAAGCAGTAACAACACAGACCCAAATCCTGGGAAAGCCATGTATGTGTACCTTGTACTTAACCAAGAACTGTGCTTCAGGCATCAGTGTTTCTTCGCTTCGCATCTTCTTGCTCGCAGGCTCATCATCTGCTGATGTATTCATATCTGCAGGATGTTTCATTGGACCCTGGAAATTATAACTGATTAATGCAATGTTGAACAGCATCATCCCTGAGACAGGACTGTTAACTCTGTCTTAATGATGGTGCCATGTCTCTGAAATGTTTTTAAGAATGGACTGCTTTGAGCTTCATGCTTAGATTGTGCTAGTACAGTAAACTCTCATTATAACAGATTAATAGGGGGGACAGGGTGTCCATTATTGTCGATGTTCAATGAAATCGAGTGAAGGGATATTCATAAAAGTACGCCATAGAATACACAGCCGGTACATGCAATAAACAGAAACATATAACATGATTAAATAAATGTTTTTATATTGGGGTTATTTTTATTTTAAATAGTTTTCTAATTACAAAACCTTATAAGTGCCTCAACATCTCTAAAAATTCACAACTGTACATACAGCCAGATTTTGTCCGTTATATCTGGGTGAGTGTTTAATATGCTGTGTATTGTCATCAACAGATGGCAGCCTGATGCTCTACTGTACTCTTTGTCTGACCAATGATGCACTTTATTTACTCATATATACCAAAATCATCTGAAAATAAGATAACACTGCAACAGCAAGGATATTTTGTCACCTAAATGCAGCAGCAATGGAAAGAGGTGTGATATTTACAGGAGTCTTCAAGGGTTGAATAGTATTGTGACATGTTGCGCAACGGAGGACCCCTACCTCCCCAGCGGCACGTGGCGGTAATGTAGCGCTCTCATAATAGGCGAGTCATCA